ACACACACACACACACCCCACACACACACACACACAGAGAGAGAGAGAGAGAAAGAGAGAGAGAGAGACAGAGAGAGAGAGAGTTCTAAAGCTGATGTGCTTTCCTGAATGCACTGCCATGCTGGATCTCCAGGGCCGGCCTATGTTGTTCTTTTAGCTTCTACTGGCTCTATCCCTCCCTGTATTCTTTTCTTCCCAACATTCCCTTTTCTGTCTATCTGGCTTTGTCTTGAGTAACCATATTTGCCTCCACTCATGAGATCCTAGGATAGAAGCCCAGTGTTTTGATTCCCAGTCCGAGCTCGCTTCACCAACCTCTTCTACTTTGGTCAACTTTACTTCCATCCTAGTTCAGAAGCCTATTTGCTTGCCCATTGTTGGAACTGTGTCACCACTCAGGATTGTTCCTCTTTCGAAATCTTTAACACTAAGACTTATCTCACTGACTAAAACTTCCAGTCCTCCTATTCCACCCACTCTCTGACTTCCCTAGATCTTCCTTACATCCTCCTCATAAATTCCAGTCTCTCACTGCTTCCCTCTCCACCTAGTTCTGATCTTGTGATCACCCAGGTTAATGATGCCCTTACTAGCATCTCATTTTCCACTGACTTTTTTCTATATTCACATTGCCAAAGCCCAACTCTGGGTATGTCCAGCCATCTATTTTTCTCAGATATTATCTTCCCAGGCTGCTGAACGATGCAGAAGAAAACCATATAAATGTATTGGTTGATTCTATTGCAGGTAGTTGTGATATAGCATCAGCAGTGGCCCCATATTTTTAACCTTTTATTTCAAAGTTTCCAGATTTTAGCATGCATAAGAATCACCTTCCCTTTGTCTCTTCCACTTTCATTCTTTTCCATTTGGGCAGGAAATAAACCCCGCCCCCGCCCCGAGTACAAAATTATATTAAACTGTGAAAAAATTCAGCAGTATTTAAATTAAAATATTAAAATCTCTCATAATCCCTCCCCTCAGAGATAACCGCTGTTGATAGGTTGAAATATATCCCTGCAGAATTTTTTTCAGGAGATCTATGTAAATATTTCTTCTTTTCCCCAAAGTAGGGTTATACTACATTTACTAGATTAAGATGCTTTTCCCCCCACTTAAAATATCCTGTTCATCTTTCTGTGCCAATATATAATTCATCTTTTTAAGGACTGTGTAAAATTCCCCTGGACAAATGTACCATAATTTAAACAAGCTCCTTTTATAGAAAATTTATTGTTTCCAATTCTTTTCCATTAAAATAATACTACAGTGACCATCCTTAAGTATATACTTGCCTCTGTCT